GTACCAAGTTTCATCAAAATCCAATGAGTGGTTGTTTAGATATCAGTGGAACAGTCATGGAACCACTAAAAAATAGCTAATTATCATGCAAATTAGGTAATTAATATGCACGGATTTTTACCAAAAATTAATCAACTCTGCGCATATGTTCAGAGCATCTATGTACCAAGTTTCATCAAAATCCAATGAGTGGTTCTTTAGATATCAGTGGAACAGTCATAGAACAGCTAAAAATTAGCTAATTATCATGCAAATTAGGTAATTAACGAGCATGGATTTTTACCAAAACCTAATCAAATCTGCGCATTGGCCCAGAGCATCTATGCACCAAGTTTCATCAAAAACCGATGTATGGTTCTTGAGATAGCAGTGGAACAGTCGGACACACATACACACACACACACACACACACACACACATACACACATACACACATACACACATACACACATACACACACACATACAGACACACTAACTGCAAAGACTCCCATTTTGTGCTTCGCACATGGGAGTCAAAAATGATTAGATCTTTCAATGAACAGAGAATACCACATAATTGTCCACTATTCAGGAATAGTTTATTGATAACACATGTTTTTGTTGTTTTTTAGCTGATGTCAGTCAGAAGGACTATTGTGTGGTTGAATTGACAGAAGAAAGATACCAAGCCTTTATATATGCAGTAAAAAACCATTATTGGTATCAAATGTACATAGATGATCTGCCAATATGGGGTAGGTCAGCTCTCTTATGGCTTAATATATACAGGACATTTTGGTAAACAAGATTTGTGCTGTACTGTATTCAAAAAATAACTGAATAAATGAATGTCTTGCTACAAACTTGTTTATCATATCTATTTATTTAATGTGCCATATGCTAATGTAAATAACACGTGATTCAATGGTCAAAACATATTTCAATGATCTGGCCTACAATAAAGGTGTTTTTTTTTGTTTATATGCAATTTCACTTGAGATGTACCGTAAAAACTCCAAAATTTCGACCGGTTTTAAATAATTTGTACTAGAAATGTGACGTGTTTTTAGAGTCAAAATTAAGGTGCAAATCAGCAAATGAAAAAATGGGGATGATAGACAGTGTGCTTCGTTAGTTTTTTAAAAAATGCAATGTCCGTCAATTGACGTAAACTTCCCCATGTTTCACGGTAAAAGCAAAGGTCGTGGCCGAGTTGTACGCTAAACAAATCAAAATCAAAACAGTCATCAATCAGTGAGTATTATGACAAGGAAAACAAAACATCAAGACGCGGAGGAGAGGTCAGCACAAAATTAGATCAAAAGACAAAGCTGTCTCACACTACCTAGGAATACTTGCGAATGTTCGAAGTACAGGTACCCATTGGACAAAAGATGCATGGAAGTTTAGCAAACTATCTCCCCGACCCAGTGCAATGTATCCGGTTAGAATCAAAGCTCACGTGTCCCTTATTTGAGGGACCAGATTCTGCCGTAAATTCGCCCT